AAATGTCTTACTAGAGATCGGCACTCAGTTTCTTAAAAATATCTCAGGCTTCCCTAGTGGTTAGGAGTCATGGATTCCATTCCTGGTCCGAGAGGATCCCACATGCTGCAAGGCAACTAACCCATTCACCACAACTACTGCGCCTATGCTCTGGAGTCCATGCTCCGCAACTGGAGAAGCCACCACAATGGTAAGCCTGCCCAGGGCAACTAGAGAGAAGCCCCGGCTTGCTGCAACTAGAGAAAGCCTGTGAGCAGCAGCAAAGACCCAGAGCAGCCAAGAATAAATAAATAACTAAAATATCTCTTAAATTTATGCTTACCTTTCCTTTTTCATTATATTTATTTTTTCTTTCTTTTTTTCTTCTGAAATAATTATCAATTTTATTGCTCCTCTCAGATAACCAGGTTTTCGTTTTATTTTCTTTTTTTCTACTATTTCTAACCACTGAACCACATACTCTTAATAGCTCTGGTAGTTTTATATAAAAAAATAGCTAGAGCCCTAAGGTTTTTCATTGAACAGTTACAGCATCTACAGGAAAGACTGTTTTGTATCTTTCTTTTGAAAAGTTGTATTTACTATTTCATTTTCATATCTTATTGCTTTATTTTAGCCACTTAAACAATGTTAACAACATTGATGATAGCACACATCTCTCTCTTGTTCCTGAATTTGGTGGAAATGACTTTAGTATTTTTCTATTTTTTATGCTGTTTGCTGTGCTATTTTGAGTAGTTTGTGTTTACTTTTTCTTGAGAGACCTTACTGGCCCTTACCGGTTGAATGAAAACCAGAAGTGTCCTGGGAGCCATTTCAAGACAGGAGTGATTAACCATGTCGAAAGCTGGATGGGTCAAGTAAGACAAAGCCTGAGAATTGGTCATTAGATTTAAAATCATGGAGGTCACTGATGACCTTGACAAGAGCAGTTTCCATACAGTAGTAACTAGAATTGGTTAAAGAAAGAACAGAAGAGAAGAATTAGAGACACCAAGCAGAGATAAGTTTTGTTTTGCCAAGATTTGTTATAGAAGAAGGAAGAGATTTGGGAGGGCTGCCAAAGGAACAGAATCAAAAGAGTTTTTGTTTTGTATTGTTATTTTCAAGATTCAAGACATTAAATCCTATGGGGAAGCCACTGCTTATGACCTCTTTATGAGGACAAACTAATGATCAAAGAGTATGCTTAGTCGCTGAGTTGTGTCCAACTCTTTGCAACCCCATGGACTCTCACCCACCAGGCTCCTCTGTCCATGGAATTTTCCAGGCAAGAATACTGGAGTGGGTTACCATTTCCTTCTCCAATGATTGCAGATAGAGGGGAGCATTTATAAAGTCATGTCCTTAAGTGAGAGGATGGGTCTTGCACGTAAGTGGGATGTGACTTCAGATAGAGCAGGGACAGCTTATTTACAATAAAAGGAGAGAAGGCAGAATAGGACAAATGGGAACAGACACTGGTGAGTGGGTCATTGTAGTCTCCTATTACTTCTTTTGCTCAGTGTATTTAAAGATTTTTTGGGTGATTCTAGTGAACATGTAGGTTTGGAGTCACTGGCCTATACTTAAAACCAAGCAAACCAAAGGGCTTATTGCTCTTCTCCTCCAACTCTATGCTTGTGTCTCATTTTTCTGCTGGTGAGAAAAGAGCATATCCAGAGCATCCTGGGGTGATGGTGAAGAGTGAGTTGCCTTAATTTGTCAACCTTAGGTCCCACACTGTGAGAACAACCCTAGGCCTGTCTTACTTTCCTAACTGTACAAACTGCACATATGAGAATAGAGAGGAGTTAGATAGACACATGGATAGATACATAGATACATAGACAGACAGACAGATAGATACAATGAATATAGGTGAGATCTCTCCCAAAACAGAGCACCCCAAGAGGGAGCAGGACACCTGGCCCAGCACAGGCTTACTTTTATGTCCCTGCTACTGGGACTCCACCTTCTAGAAGTCATAGTCCAGTCAGTTCCTTAAACATGACCAGTCCATACCACAAGGAGAGAGACCACAAAGTCATCAACCCTGATGCCAAATTCTCCTTGGAATAGAAGGAGTGGGGTGGGGGAAAACTGTTAAGCATCCTGGGGTGATGGTGAAGAGTGAGTTGCCTTAATTTGTCAACCTTAGGTCCCACACTGTGAGAACAACCCTAGGCCTGTCTTACTTTCCTAACTGTACAAACTGCACATATGAGAATAGAGAGGAGTTAGATAGACACATGGATAGATACATAGATACATAGACAGACAGACAGATAGATACAATGAATATAGGTGAGATCTCTCCCAAAACAGAGCACCCCAAGAGGGAGCAGGACACCTGGCCCAGCACAGGCTTACTTTTATGTCCCTGCTACTGGGACTCCACCTCCTAGAAGTCATAGTCCAGTCAGTTCCTTAAACATGACCAGTCCATACCACAAGGAGAGAGACCACAAAGTCATCAACCCTGATGCCAAATTCTCCTTGGAATAGAAGGAGTGGGGTGGGGGAAAACTGTTTAATAAATCTAAATTGCCTCTCCTCCTCCACCTAGGCCCAAGTCAAAAATGGGTGTCACAAGAGATTGATTTAGCTAGCACAACTGTTGTGGTCCCTTTGGACTGATATAACAAAAATACCACAGACTGAGTGGCTGATGCAAACATTTATTTCTCACATCTCTGGAGCCTGGGAAGTCCAAGATCAGGGTGCTGGCAGATTAGGCATCTGGTGAGAGCCAGCTTCCTGGTTCTTAGATCATTGTCTTCAACCTGTGCCCTTTTATAAGGGCACTAATCCCATTGTTGAGGGTTCCACCCTCATGACCTAATCACCCCCAAAGTCCCAAGATACCATCACACTGGGGATTGAGTTTCAACATATGAATTTTGAGGAGACACAAGCATTCATTCTATAGCCACAATAATTTTAAAAAATTATATCTATCCACCCTAAGCAAAGTGGACATGGCATTTTCCTGATTAAGGCAGCAAATCACTGCTTGTGTCCTCCAGGACCACTGCAGACATCAGCACCCTGGCCTAGCCACCAAGGTACAACTTGCATATCCAGTCATAGACAGTGGGAAAATGCTGGTGTATTTTTTCCCCCAGGAAAAAAGAAGTCCAAAATAACCTGGTGGCTTTCCCAACCCGGAAGCTCTCTGTGTGGTTATTTTCTGCTGCTTCACCCCTACTTAGGCCAGCTGTTTCTTTAGGTGTCTTCTCTTGAGGGTAAAAATAAAGAACAACCTGTTTCCTGGTAGCAGCATCCACAGGAGGATGACAGCATGTGATATCAATGTGATGGAGGGAGCCTAGTTCCTATTCATTCCCCTGGCATTGTGCACTAATGGACTCCGATATTAAAATGCATATTTCACACCCTTGTCCCCCGATTTGGAGGATGGCCATTCACTATGCATGAGCCATTCACTCATGCTCATCACACAGAGAAAATTACATTTTCCCGGTTGCCAAATGAAAGAGATAAATTATCTCACGTGGATAAGAACACTGCTTCCATAGCAGTTCCACAGACCCAAGACACTGATCTAAAGCACCCAGGAGGGAGATTGAGATTTCCTGGGGTCTTCCTGGTCAGACGAGTTGGGACATTTGTTTGCCTTTCCAGCTTTTTTGGATAAAATGAGCATTCTTGAACCTCTTATTCTTCCGTCCTAGGAAATATGTTATAAAATGAATAAATCAACACAGAGCATTTCAGATTTATGCCTACCCACTGAATTGATAACACTTATTTGTAATGAAAATTAAAGAAGCAAAATGTTAAAATGTTCTCTTTCGGGAAGATACACTGGAATGTCTCACCACTGATGTACACATATCTGTTTCTTGCACACTCTCTCCTTATCCCAGTGTATTCTTTTAGGTTAATGAGGATCAGATCACTGCTGTCTCTAATTTAGAATCTATTCCTAAACCTATTGGTGGCAGCAGTGGTAAAGAATCTGCCTGTTAATTCAGGAGACGCAGGAGACACAGGTTCGCTCCCTGGGTCAGGAAGATCCTCTGGAGAAGGAAATGACAACCCACTCCAGTATTCTTGCCTGGAAAATTCTATGGACAGAGGAGCCTGGTGGACTACAGTCCATAGGGTCCTAAACAGTTGGACACAACTCAGCACACACACTTAAACCTATCACCAACACACAGATAATTAATAGCAATTGTATCTGCACAGTAATTACAGCTACCATTTATTATCCTTCACATGGACATCACTATTCTAACCACTTAATGCATTTTTCTAATATGATCTCATAATTTAAATTTTTTGTTTTTGCCCATGTTACAATTAGCACAGTTATATGATTCACACATTAATTCTTTCAACAGTTATCCAGCGCCTATTACACAGCTGGAATTGTGCGAGGCCCTGGAGGCTGAGGGGGGCGTGAAGCAGAACTAGAGCACATGGCAGACCCTCCAGAGTGTTGAAGTGAGGTTCTCGCACTGATTGCTTTGGAAGCTGGGAGAAGGGAGGGCTCATGGGCAGCGAAAGCCACTAGTGACCTCATTATACAATATTTAGGTTATCATATTTTTCTCTGCCTAGAAAAGCGGCTTCTCAATCATCCCACTGCGGCGCACGCATTAAGCGACGCCCCTAATCTGTGTGGACCACTTTGGATTTGCCCGAAGGCACCACCTAAACACTAATTATTACTAGTTTATGGGTCTCGTGGCTTCTGCTTTCCTTTTCTCTGGCTTCCGAAGTGTTGCTTCCCTTCTGTTACTTTTATCCCGTCCGTGCAAAGGAGCACAGATCCACAGCCCTGGCGCCAGGCTCTGGACTAGTGCACGTGCGCTCGGCGCCCCCTCAACCTTCGGCGAGGTCCCCTCTCCCGCGCCACCCAGTCCGGGCTGGCTCCTTCTCCTCCCGGGCGCCCCCGCCTCCGGTCGCTGCATCAGAGCGGGGCGGACCCGGCAGAGAGGCCAGGGTTTCGGCCGAGCGCAGAAGCACTCCGCTTCCCGCCGCCCATCCCTCGCGGGCAGAGCTCAAGGGGGTCCCCTCCCCCGGGCAGGAGTGAGGACGAGCTCCAAAGGTGATGGAGGACTCTGGGGAGCGTGCGCCCATGCAGGAAGGGCAGGCTACCCCGGGGACCTGGGTTCGACTCAGAGAACGCGGGTCCCTGGCCCCCCAGGTGAGGTTGCCTTCGAGAAGGCTGGGTCAGAGAAGGCTGGTCTACACTGCGCGCGCTCCGCCCCGGAACAGCGCGGCGGAGCGGACCCGGGGCTGGCGGGAGGAGGGAGCCGGGAGCGCGAGGGAGGCAGCCGCCCCCTGCCGCCCAAGGCCGGGCTCCCCCGCGCGCCCGCCGCNGCTGGGCTCCCCTGGGGCGGAGGGGCGGGGGGTGTAGGGGAGGAGGTCGTGGGGACCGGTTGCCGCGAGGGGACCCCCATCGCCAAGGACCACTCGGCGTGTTCTGGAGCGCCGAGGGGCGGTTCGCACTGCAAGTTCAGATTTGGATCTCGGTTATGGGGTCTGCCCCAGTCCTCTCGCACCCTCCTTTCCAGCCTTCTCCCTGTCTTCTTCAGGGTTAATATAGCGCCCCCTACGCCCCACCCCACCGAGGTTCCCACTCTGCCCCTTCGCTGCCCCAGGGCGGGGGCTTCGGACGCCTGGGAGAGAGGAAGCCCCGCCGCGTTCCGGGCTGGGGGAACCCCAAACGCTAATCTGCGGCGGGAGGGCGGGCGGCTGCCAGCGGAGAAGGAGGTTTGACATCACAGCGTGGTCCTGGGCCGCTCCCCCAGCCTCTTCCCGGGCTGCCCTCGGTCAGAAAAGGAATCCCGGCTGCCTTTTTTTTTTTTTTTGCTTTTGTTCTGCCGGTAACTCTCCGGAATCCGGGGAGAAGCCGGGGCGGGCCGATACCCCCGGGAGGGAGACCTTGGCGGAAGCTCCAGGTGCAAGCCCAAAGTGACAATTGGAGGCGGCAGCTGTCTCCCGCCCCCGAGTGGGGAAGAGATCCCGATCACTGATCAGTGCTCGGGAGCAGGCAGTGGGTCGGCCGCCAGCCTAAGAGTGGGATGTCCAACGCGGCCGCGCGCCGTCACGCGCCACTCCCGCACTCTCGGAAACGCTTCTTCGAGACGCGCATCGCCATTCACGGATCTGTGTCTGGGTCTTGATTAATGTCACCTCTGCCCGGGTTCTCTGAGGAGCGAGCTTCAGCTTCTGTTAAATTTAGTAGCCGTTTATAAAGGGGCCTACTGTGTGCAAGGCAGCAGCCCTACGATTATCCTAAGAGATGCTAATGGAGCACCTACTGTGTGCAAAGCAGGTGTGTTATGAACTTTTCAGTTTAGCCGAGTGTAGAGTACTAGATGTATTCACGGTACCGATGCTCTGACCGTATCTTAATAGATACTTGCTGAGCAACTACGACGTACAAGGTCGTTTCTGTTTGTTTGGTTTCTGAAGGGCTGCCCAGTGCATCTTTGGGGGTGGGGGACACGTGGAGGCAAGGAAGTCAAAATATGTCTTCGAACTCTGCAATTCCTTTGGTAACCTGCCTTTAACTTTCTCGAACTGCTTGCTGTGTGGTGTAGGAAGAGCTGGTCTGGTACACTCCAGCTTGAGGGGTTTATCAGACAGGAGCAGGGCAGAATAATGAAAAGGCTACTCTGGGACTTCTTTCCAACTCAGTTTCCTCACTTTAAAAAGAAGGAGGGAGGAGGCAGTTCCCTTTGTGCAAAGCACACGGTGGTAGTTATTGCAAGGAATCAAAGGTTAATGAGGCAAAGCATTGACACTTAGAGGGGGGAAAGTCTATGGTGGGGACAGACAGACAGACAAAAGACAAGCCAGGAAGCTTGTGGGGTGGGGCATGAAGATAGGGCCGGGATATTCAGTCGCTCAGTTCTGTCTGACTCCGTGACCCCATGGACTGCAGCATGCCAGGTTTCCCTGTCCATCAACTCCCGCAGCTTTCTCAAACTCATGTCCATTGAGTCGGAGATGGCATCCAACTATCTCATCCTCTGTCATCCCCTTCTCCTCCTGCCTTCAATCTTTCCCAGCATCAAGGTCTTTTCCAATGAGTCAGTTCTTCACATTAGGTTGCCTAAGTCTTTTTAACTTGGCCTCCAGCAGTTCCTGGTAACTGCTTTCCCCTAGTTTCTTAGTAGGATGATCTTTTTCTTCTCAAATCATTTCCAATCGCCCTTGAAAAAAATTTTTTTTTAAAAACTACAAGTGTATTAATTTTTTGTTATGAACCTGAAAGCCCCCTTCAGATCTTTTCTGGAAGTAGCCCCATTATGAAAGATACCTAGGAAATATAGTATGATGTATACCTAGGAAGTATAGATGAATGACTTGGAGGCCCTGTACTTATAAGAGGAGGGAGGGAAAAAAAAGTCAAAATCAATCTATTTTCAGGGCAGAAATAGAGACATAGACATAGAGCACAGACTTGTGGACATGGGAGCAGGGGAAGGAGAGGGTGGAGTGAACTGAGAGAGCAGCACTGAAACATATACACTACCATATGTACAACAGATATAGTGGGAAGTCGCTGGAGCTCCCACGGTGCTCTGTGACTACCTAGGGGGTGGGGTGGGGCGGGGAGGGAGGTTCACGAGGCAGGGGACATATGTATACTTATGACTGATTCATATTGTTGTATGGCAGAAACCAACGCAACATTGTAAAGCAATTATCCTCTAATTTAAAAAAAAGTCAAAATCAGGAATTACAGGGAAAATATAAACTGGCCTTGAAAGACAGAATGTGATTTAGATAGGCAAAGAAGATGAACAAAGACCTCCCTTCTAACTTGTGGGAAAGGATGTTAGCCTAAGTGTGATGGAAAACAAACCATCTTTCGAGCACTCTAGAAATCTGATAGCTCTTCATCTGGAAGAGTTTCGAAGCGCTGCCTGCCTGATCGTTTAGCTCTGTGTCCAGTGGTTTGCGAGGCGTCAGGTGGGGGCTTCACCCAGCATGGCCTGGCGTTCACTGTAATTCCCATGGCTGGTGGCTGGTGAGAACCCTTGTCTCCTGTTCCAGCTGCAGGGAGCAGTGCATCCTTACCATTCTTTCAAACATTCCTAGGGTTTTTTTCACCTGAGCTGAACTTGATTGTAATCTTCTTCAAAGCCAAGAATGTGACTTGTCTTTTCTCTGCATCCTTCCCTCCTGGGAGGCTCGGGCGTAGTCTGCAGGGTAGGTGACTTTTATTCCAGAACCTTGGATTGTCCATTCCTTCCCTCTTTTCCTACTTCCTCAGGGCCTGACCCTTCTCCCCCTCTACCACTTTCAGCTCCTCAGAGCCTTTCACTGTATGAAAACTTAGGACAAAACCAACCTGTCCTCAGCCCCTTTCTCTTGACTAGGAGTGTAGGTCACTGTTCTGTCTTCCAGGGGTCCTTGCACTTGAAGCCTCGCTGTGGAACGAAAGGCTTTATCCACCATGAGATTTCAGGCTTAGACAAGTGGGTGTTGGAGGTAATTGGGGAGGCGAAGTGCCTTTCTTGGTGCTTCTGAAATGATGCTGTTACCACCTCCTCATGTAGCCAGTCTTGGCAAAGGTCTCTGTGGTCCCACAGTCCACAAAAGTCTGGAGCCTTCGTTGCTTGATGACCGGCGTGGCGGCTGAAGTCAGAGAGCAGCCTGGCGTGTGCTGTCAACCCGGCCTTCACTCGCTCCATTCTTTAAAGGTTAATCCTTTCCCAGAGAGGATTCTTCCTTCCTTCCCTACATGTACCGTTATCCTAAGGCTGGGATTCTCCACCGGGGCACTCCTGGTGTCGTGAGCTGGAACACCCGTTGTGGGGCCTGCCCTGTGCATTGTAGCACGTTTAGCAGCAGCCCCGGCCTCTACCCGCTGGATGCCAGTCGCACCCCACGTCCCCTCCCCAAGGTGTGACAATGAAAAGTGTCCCCAGTTATTATCAGGTGTCCCCTGAGGAGCAGAATCACCCCCTGCTGTGAACAGCTCTTCTGAGGGGAACTGGTTCTCTGTGCAGTGCTGTGTAACCATTCCCGCTTTTCGGGGAGAGGCCCCCTTTATTGTAACTTGGTTTTCAAGACAGATGACCTGGTAAATATAATGCGTGTGTGTGCTAAGTTACTTCAGTCATGTCTGACTCTTTGTAACCCTATGGACGGTAGCCCACCAGGCTCCTCTGCCCGGGGAATTCTCCAGGCAAGAATACTGGGGTTTGTTGCCATGCCCTCCTCCAGGGGATCTTCCTGATGCAGGAATGGAACCTGTGTCTCTTACATCTCCTGCACCAGCAGGCTGGTTCTTTACCACTAGGACTACCGGGGAGACCCACAAGTGTGTAATGTGCATTGTGGCATTTTCCAGGTGAATAATTTCCTAAATCAGAATAAACATCCTTTGCAGGTCACATATCCTAATCTGGTCATCAGTCAATCTTTTGAGACAAAGCAACAACTACCCCGCCCCCCCCCCCAAAAAAAAATCCCACTAAACACCTCTCAGCTTCTTCCCCTAGCATGTGTTTGATTTATATAGCACAAATGCAGGTAGTGGAACCACCGTTGGCAACTACGATTGCCCACAGGGTCATCCCAGCCCACTGCTCAGACAGTGGCTGGTGGGTGGTAGTGGAGGTGGGAAGCGGTGGGCGAGGATCCAGTTCTGGTGGGATAGGATGCTGATATAAACTGAGGAGTCCTGTTTACAAAAGACAGTGACCACGTGAGTGTGTGCTCGGGCCCTTCACTGGCCCTGGGTGGGGCTCTGATGTTTTAGGTCCATTTGCTTCAGGTGAAGCTGCCTCTGGGCATTGTTGACGGCGTGGCTGCCCAAAGAGGAACCTGGAGGCTTGCTGCTACCCGTGACTGTCAAGAACTGAGAGAAGCTTCTCAAAGACTTGACTTCAGGAGAGTACAGAGGTCAAAACAGGATGGTTGAAAACAGGGCAGCCAGTACTTCTGTTCCTATCTGCCTTCAAAAGTAGAACTTCCACAGTGTTAGCAGCAACTGCATCTTTGTAGGATGGAAGAAGGGGCATGGCTAGTTCCCGTTTAGCAGCAGGATTCTTGAGTTCTGTCCAGTTGATGAAAGTAACTTAATGGACCTTGTAAGTGAGATTGGTCTGCTGCCCAAGTTATTGCTTCTGAAAGTGACTGAAACTCTTTTTGAGGTCACTATAATCATATTTGAAAAGTTTA